TGGTTTAAAGTTAGAGTTCAACAACAACAAAAATCACAGAAAGCCTATAATCTCATGGAAACTGAATAATGCTCAACTGAATCACCAATGGGTTAAGGAAGAAATAAAAAAAGAAATTAAAGACTTCCTAGAATTAAATGAAAATGAATGTACTATATACCCAAACTTATGGGACACTATGAAAGCAGTGCTAAGAGGAAAATTCATAAAGAAGTTGGAGAAATCTCACACTAGTGATTTAACAGCACACCTGAAAGCTCTAGAACAAAAGGAAGCAAACTCACCCAGGAGGAATAGACACCAGGAAATGAGGAAATAATCAAATTGAGGGCTGAAATCAATAAAATAGAAACAAAGAGAACAATACAAAGAATCAATGAAACAAAGAGTTGGTGCTTTGAGAAAATCAACAAGATAGACAAGCCCTTATCCAAATTAATCAAAAGGCAGAGAGAGACCATCCAAATTAACAAAATCAGAAATGAAAATGGAGACAAAACAACAGACAAGGAAATCCAGAGAATCATCAGGTCATATATCAAAAACCTGTACTCCACAAAATTAGAAAATCTAAAAGAAATGGACAATTTTCTGAACAGGTACCACATACCAAAATTAAATCAAGACCAGATAAACAATTTCAATAGACCTATAACCCCTAAGGAAATAGAAACAGTCTTCCTACCAAAAAAGCCCAGGACCAGATGGTTTCAGTGCTTCTGCCAGAATTTCAGAAATTCTACCAGAATTTCAAAGAAGAGCTAATTCCAATACTCTTCACATTGTTCCACACAATAGAAACAAAAGGAACATTATCAAACTCTTTTTATGAGGCAACAGTTACCCTGATACCCTAACCACACAAAGATGCAACAAAGAAAGAGAATGACAGACCAAATCTCCCTCATGAACATTGATGCAAAAAATACTCAATAAAATACTGACAAATAGACTCCAAGAGTGCATCAAAAAAATTATCCACCATGACCAAGTAGGCTTCATCCCAGGGATGCAAGGGTGGTTCAACATACAAAAGTCTGTCAATGTAATACACCATGTAAACAAACTGAAAGAAAAAGCCCACATGATCATCTCATTAGATGCTGAAAAAGCCTTTGACAAAATCCAACACCCCTTCATGATAAAGGTCTTAGAGAGATCAGGAATACAAGGAACATTTCTAAACATAATAAAAGCAATTTACAGCAAGCTGACAGCCAACATCAAATTAAATGGAGAGAAACTCAAAGCGATTTCACTAAAATCAGGAACAAGACAAGGCTGTCCACTCTCCCCATATCTATCCAATATAGTACTTGAAGTTCTAGCTAGAGCAATAAGACAACAAAAGGAGCTCAAAGGAATAGAAATTGGAAAGAAAGAAGTCAAAATTTTGCTATTTGCAGCTAATATAATAGTATATATAAGTGACCCCAAAAATTCTACCAGGGAACTCCTACAGCTGATAAACTCCTTCAGTAATGTGTCAGGATACAAGATTTACTAAAAAAAAAAAAAAAAAAAAAAATCAGTAACTCTCCTATATACAAATGATAAACAGGCCAAGAAGGAAATCAGAGAAACATCACCCTTTACAATAGCCACAAATAATATAAAATATCTTGGAATAACTCTAACTAAGCAAGAGAAGGATCTGTATCATAAGAACTTTAAGTCTCTGAAGAAAGAAATTGAAGAAGATATCAGAAAATGGAAAGATCTCCCATGCTCATGGATAAGTAGGATTAACATATTAAAAATGGCAATCTTACCAAAAGCAATCTACAGATTCAATGCAATCCCCATCAAAATCCCAACACAATTCTTCACAGACCTGGAAAGAACAATTCTATATGAAAAAACAAAAACCCCAAGATAGCTAAAACAATACTGTACAATAAAGCAACTTCTGGAGGCATCACCACCCATGACCTCAAGCTCTACTATAGAACTATAGTAATAAAATCAGCTTGGTATTGGTATAAAAACCGACATGTGGACCAGTGGAATTGAATTGAAGACCCTGACATTAATGCACACACCTACAAACACCTGATTTTTGACAAAACTGTACAATGGAAAAAAGAAAAATTCTTCAACAAATGGTGCTGGCATAACTGGGTGTCAACATGTAGAAGATTGCATGTATATTGCCATGCACCAAACTCAAGTCCAAGTGGATGAAAGACCTCAACATAAATCCAGCTACACTGAACCTGATAGAAGAGAAAGTAGGAAGTAGCCTTGAATGCATTGGTGCCAAAGACCATTTCCTAAATATAACATCAGTAGCATAGACACCGAGAGCAACAATTAATAAATGGGACCTCCTGAAACTGAGAAGCTTATGTAAGGCAAAGAACATGGTCAACAAGACAATATGGTGGGCTGGAGAGATGGCTCAGAGGTTAAGATCACTGCTTGCTCTTCCAAAGGTCCTGAGTTCAATTCCCAGCAACCACATGGTGGCTCACAACCATCTGTAATGAGATCTGGTGTCCTCTTCTGGCCTGCGGGCATACATGCAGACAGAACACTGTATACATAATAAATAAAAACCTTTAAAAAAAAAAAAAGACAAAATGGCAGCCTGCAGAATGGGAAAAGATCTTCACCAATCCCACATCTGACCCAGGGCTGATCTCTAAAATATATAAAGAACTCAAGAAACTAGACATCAAAATACCAAACAGTCCCATTAAAAAATGGGCTAAGAGCTAAACAGAGAATTCTCAACACAATAATCCCAAAAGACATTTAAGGAATTGTGCAACATCCTTACTCATCAGGGAAATGCAAGTCAAAACGACTCTGAGATACCATCTTACACCTGTCAGAACAGCAAAGATCAAAAACACTGATGACAGCTTATGTTGGAGAGGATGTGGAGCAAGGGGAACACTCCTCCACTGTTGGTGGGAGTGCAAACTGGTACAGCCATTTTGGATATCAGTATGGCAGTTTCTCAGAAAACTTGGAATCAATCTACCTCAAGACCCAATGATACCACTCTTGGACATATACCCAAGGGTATATCATACCACAAAGACACTCACTCAACTATGTTCACGGCAGCATTATACAACAGTAATAGCCAAAACCTGGAAACAACCTAGATGTCCCTCAACCTAAAAATAGATAAAGAAAATGTGGTACATATACACAATGGAGTACTACTCAGCAGACAAAAACAATGACATCATGAAATTTTCAGGCAAATGGATGGAACTAGAAAATATCATCCTGAGTAAAGTAATCCAGACTCAGAAGGACAAATATGGTATGTACTAACTCATAAGTGAATACTAGATGTAAAGCAAAAGATAACTAGACTACAACTCCCAGCTCCAGAGAAGCTAGCTAACAAGGAGGACCCTAAAAGGGGCATATGGATCGCCCTGGGAGGGGGAAATAGATGAGATCTCCACGAGTAAACTGGGGTGAGGTGAGGCAATGCAATAGAGTGTAGGGGATGGGAGATGAGAACATAAAGGGATAGGATGGTCAAGCTGGAAACAGGGACAGAGTAGGAGAGCAATGAAAGAGATACATCATGATAGAGGGAGACATCATGGGGATAGGAAGAAACCCAGTGCTAGGGGAGTTCCCAGGAATCCATAAGGATGACCCCACCTTAGACTACTAGCAATAGTGGAGAGGGTGCCCGAACTGGCCTATCCTGGTAATCAGATTGGTGAATACCCTAATTGTCATCATAGGGCCTTCATCCAGTAACTGATGGAAACAGATGCAGAGATCCACAGTTAAACACCAGGCTGAACTCCAGAAGTCTAGTTGAAGAGAGAGAAAAGGGATTTTATGAGCAAGGGGCATCAAGATCATAATGGGGAAACTTACAGAGACAACCAAACCAAGCTAGTGGGAACTCATGAACTTTAGACCAACAGCTGTATAGCCTCCTTGCGACTGGACTATGCCCTCTGCATAAGCAACACCATTGTATAGCCCGATCTGGTTAAGGGGCCCCCTGGCAATAGGATCAGGATCCATCCCTGGTGCATGAGCTGGCTTTTTGGAGCCAACTACCTATGGTGGGACACCTTGCACAGTCTTGATGCAGGGGAGGAGCTTGGACCTGCCTCAACTGGATGTACCAGGCTCTGCTGACTCCCTATGGGAGGCCTTACCTTGTTGCAGGAGGGAATGGGAGGTGCGTTGGGGGGAAGACTGGGGGGTGGAAGGAGGGAAGAGAGGAGAATCTGTGGTTGGTATATAAAATAAATAAAAAATTTCTTAAGAAAAAAAAAAAAGAAATTCTACCAAGTTTACCTCACCATGTTAACCTACTTGTAAACAAGAAAGCTAAATCTCTAAGTTATTGAAATAAAATAATTTAAATGTAAAAAAACATTAAAAATAATAATTTTTAAAGAAAATAAAAGTTTTCAAGCAAGGCACTCTATTGGTTCATCTTAAGGCAGATATCCACCCAAGATTCAGTAACTGGAATCACCTGATGTGATGGTTACCTTTGTCAACTTGACAGAATCTATAATCACCTGGGGAGAGAAGTTGTCTACATCAGGTTGACCTGAGAGCATGTCTGTAGGAGATTGTCTTAATTAAGTCAATTGATGTAAAAAGACCCAGCCTACTGTGGGTGGCACCATTCCCTAGGCAGGGGTTTCCGAACTGTATAAGAATGTAGAGATCCATCTGAACACAAACAAGTATGCATGCATTCATTTCCTTCTCTCTGCTCTTGACTGTTGATTTGATATGACTGTTTTAAGTTCTTGCCTTGACTTCCTCACAATGATGAACCTGGAACTGTAAGCTAGAATAAACTCCTCTCTCCTCTAAGTTGCTTTTTTGTTAGGTTTTTGTTTAAAGTAACAGAAATGAAGCTAGGAGACCTGGCCAAAAAGGAATCAAAGGTGGACTGGAAAGCCACATGGCTTTGCTCCAAGATGGGAGTTCAAGTTAGCCCTGTGTAGGGCTGTCCAGAAGTGCCCACTGTGGACAGAAACCAAAGACGCTGGGTGTTAACTATTTCTTTATTAGGTGGTAAGGGAACTGGGGAGGTGAGGGTTGTACAATGCGAGACCTGGGATTTCAGCTACAACGGCCGGTGACCAAGTGCCATATTATAAAAATAGCCTAAAAACATTTCTATTAGGCAGTGAGGCTGAGCCAAGGGGATACCAGGAAGAGGGGGTGTCACTCCCTCAGGTACCGCATCCCCACCTTCAGCCCTGTATTTACAATTAGAAGTGGAATGCATACGAAATACATCTCCCCTGACCCCGCCCCCGGCCCTAAAAGGTGAGCCAGGCTCTGGGAGGGGGGGCCCTAGTGGGGGCTTTGGTGGGAAAGACCCCTTTCCCAGTGAGTCTACAAGTTTTATCTGGAATGCAGTGAAGTGAGGAAGGAGGATAGGGAGAGGAAGGAGGCTCCCAAGTGTCCCCTGACCCCAGGGGAGGGTGTGCCCAAGGCTGGCTACTTGGTACATACCAGGGCCGCATACTCAGTACACGGGACCCTAGTCTTGTCTGTGTACTCGGTACACAGAGTCCGGATTGGCCGAATGGGCCCACAGACTCAGCCCCACGGGGGCGCTGGAGGGATTTGCAGCGGGGGAAGGGAGCATCTCCATATATATATTTTGTAAAAAATAATAATAATAATAAGTTTGTTTAAATGAATTTGTCTCTATACAAAATGTAAAAAAGAAAAAAATAACTCACTCATGCCAGTGTGAGAAAATGAGGAGCAAGAAGAGGCAAAAAAAAAAAAAAAAAGGAGGACAGGGAATGGAGGCAGGGTGAGGGGTTAAGTCCCAGACCCCTTACCTTAAAGGGCCGAGATGGTGGGAAGTCAGCCCCTACCCATTATAAATAAAGGAAGACTGGGGGTCTGGGCTGGTGACCAGCTTGGTCACACTATGAGACAGAGAGGTGCAGGAAGGCTGGTACAGAGAAAGGGATGAAAATAAAATTAAAAGGGAGAGAGAGAGAAGCCAGGGAGGGATGTCACTTCAACACCCCCGCCCCCGCAAAGATCCAAGAACTTAGGCCATCACTTGCCTCTTAGGGGGGACTTCTGGCTGGGGCCCCAGCTGTGTCTGGGCCTGAGGGAGGGAGGGAACAGATATGGGGTGTGGCTGAGCAGGTAGCGCTCCAGCCGCTGTGGCACCAGCCGTAGTCGCTGGGCTAGGCGTAGAGTCGGACCAGTCTGAGAGGGAGGGAGGGGATGGGCTGGCCCAGTGCTCTGGGGACTCGGGAGATGGGGTCAAATAAGGATGCTCGCTGGGAACCCGCAGGAAGCGGGCTTTTGTGGGGCTGCTGCGGGTCCCCGCTGCAGGGTATTCCTCTCCGTGTCCTGGGGCAGCCAGGTAGGGTGGCGGCCGCTCCTGGGGAGAAACTGGGGTTCCCGAGTTGAGTAGCTGGGGTCCCGGAGCCAGGGGCAACAGGAATGAGGTTCCTGGTGGGGCAGGTGGAGGCACCCGGGCCCAGTCGAGGGGGACAGCCACAGGGTTGAGGAGACCCAGGCTGAGCACGCAGCCCCCGGGAGGCTGGCGCCCCAAAGGGCCCGCCCGACTTGCACCAAGCTGTGCCAAGGACACCGCAGTAGCCGTGGTGGCATAGGGACCCTCCAGGGGGAAGCCTCCAGGGGAAGCAGGGGGCCCACCGAAAGGCCTTGGGGAGTCCAGCGAGTCCACAGGCGACAGTGTGACAGAGCTGTCTGCCAGGGGGCCCGGGCAGGCCAGTGTCAGCTTCTTGCCCCGACCCCGGGTTCCCTGTGGCCCCAGCCCCGTCTTGCCAGGCTGCCTCCTGCTCTTCTTGGTCCCAGACTGCACTGCCTTGAGCCCAGGAAGGAAGGCCCCTGGTGGGCAGAGCAGGGGCCCCAAGCCATGGGGGCCGGGGGGACTGCGGGGGCCACTGGGCTGGTCCAGCAACCGCACAATGTCCTGATGCAGCCGCTCCTGGGCCACATCCCGGGGCAGCCTGTCCAGGTGATCTGTGATCTCCCGGTTGGCAAAATGGTCCAGCAGCAACTTGGCAGCCTCAAAGCTGCCCTCACGAGCAGCCAAGAACAGTGGAGTCTCCTCCTGAGGTAAAAAGAAGGGGCAGAACCCACAGATGTCAGTCACTCTCTGTCCAACACCCGGGTCTCTAATCCCTAGGGCATCCTGCGAAGTACAAGTTGAAAGCCTGAAGATGGATAGATCTGGGTTCGGATCCCAGCTCTGCTGAAGGAACAAGCTCTCTCTCCTCAGCCACGACCCTGCTGCAGGAGCATCTGGACAGGACTTACCTTAGGCACAAAATTTAAAGGGGCATCAAAATCTCCAGTCATCAAGATAAATTACACGTTGATGCAATGATTTGTAAAAGACTAAAAAGCCAGGGGTCAGGGCTTTCATGGAGATATACACCTTCAATCCTAGCACCCGGATCTCAGTGAGTTCCAGGCTAGCCTGGTCTACACAATGAGACCTTGTCTTTAAAAAAAAAAAAAAAAAAAAAAAAAAAAAGTAAAAATGAAAGGAAAACCCAAAACCAGGTGTGGCAACTAACTCATGCCTGTAATCCCAGCACTTGGGAGGCCAAGGCAGAAGACTCACCGAGAGTTTGAGGTCACCTTCTGCTAAAGTAACTAGTAAGACCTGGTCTCAAAAGGAAAAGGAAACAGAGTAAAGCAAGCACTTGTCACCAAGCCTAGTCACTTCAGTTCCGTCCTTGGTACCCACCCGGGCAGATCGCACCTGGGTGCAACTCCAGCTCCAGGGGGATTCCACACGCTCTTCTGGCCTCAAGGGAACCCGCGACTCATGTCCACATAACTACACACACACACACACACACTCTCTCTCTCTCTCTCTCTCTCTCTCTCTCTCTCTCTCTCTCTCTCTAATAAAAAATAAAATACATCATTGAAAAAAAAATAGCCAGGCACGACAGTATATGCCAGCATTTTAGGCAGCAGAAACATGAGAATTGTGAGTTCAAGGCCAGCCTGGAGTGTCCTCTCTCTCTCTCTCCATATATATATATATATTTCATGTTTTAAAAAGTAAGGGCCAGTGAGATGGCTCTGCAGGTAAATGTGCCTGATGACCTAAGTTCAAACAACAGGATCTAAATAGTGGAAGGTGAGAACTGACTCCCACAGTTGACCTCTGACCTCCACAGGCTTGCTGTAGCAAGCGCACACAAACATACAGTAACTAAATGTAACACATAAAAGAGATTAGGGACTGGTCCTTTGGCAGGTTTTTTGACAGTCAGCCTAACACTTCCCTGAGAATCTGCTCAGTGCCTGACTGAGGTGCTCAGTCCGCTTGCTGAAGCTCGGCAAGTGCCGTCGAGTGGATGTTGCTGCTTCCCTAATCCACAGGAGGACACTAAGTTTCAGAGATGTTTAGCAACTTGCTCCATGTCACACAGTGACTACCACAAATGTTCTCCTTTGATCCGCTATCGGAGCCTCTAGGCCTGACTCCCACTCCCAAAAGCTGACTGTAGGCAAGACGGATGCCCCCTAAAGGCTTATTCCCGCCCTGCGTGTCACTTGCAGGGGGCTGTGGCAGTACCGGCTCCCAAGGGCTCACCTTGCTGTCCTGCATGTCCTTGTTGGCTCCATTTTTCAGGAGAGCCAAGGTGGCCTCCACGTTGTTCACGGCTGCAGCCCAGTGTAGGGCTGATTTCCCTGCAGGGAGACAAATGGCAGCAGTCAGGCTCATGCCGGGTCCCCACACAGGACAGGCAGAAGAGTCTAGAAAACGACCTGGCAGCGGGCAGGACAGTTCCAGGCACACCCTAGTGTCTGAGCGCTTGTGTTGAGATCCGAGTAGGTGCAGATCTACAGAATGCCTCCTTCCAAGGGGTGCCTGCACGTGTGTGCGTGTGAAACTGATTTTAAAACAAACAAGGGCCAGCAGGATGGCTCAGCGGGCAAAGGTGTCTACTGCATACACCTGACGACCTGAGTTCCAGCCCCAAACCCACATTAGAGGGAATTTCAACAAGAACAAAATAAACAACGCATCGCCAAAACTGAAACTCTCATTCTTCTAAGGATACCATCAAAGACATGCAGGCTAGCGGCTGGAGAAATGGCTTGGGAGCTAAAAACATCTGCTGTTCTATTGTGGGAAGTGGAGGGGTTTTGTTTCTTAGTTTTAATGTCACGTGTAGGGCTGTTTTACTTGCATGGTATATCTTTGCACCATCTGTGTGCCTGGCGTCCACAGAGGCCAGAAGAGGGCGTCAGATCCCTGGCACCGTGTTAACCAGGCATGGTGGCACATGCCTGCCATCCCAGCACTGGGGAATCTATGTGGCTTACACTCTGTCTTAGGGCTTCTATTGCTGCCAGGAAATGCCGTGACTAAAGGAAGTTGGGGAGAAAAGGATTTATTTGGCTTATACTTCCATACCGCTGTTCTTTACTGAAGGAAGTCAGAACAGGAACTCACACAGGGCAGGAACCTGGAGGCAGGAGCTGATGCAGAGGCCATGGAGGGTGCTGCTCCCCATGGCTTGCTCAGCCTGCTTTCTTAGAGAACCCAGAACCACCAACCAGCCCAGGGATGGCACCACCCACCATGGACGGGGCCTTCCCCATTAATTACTAATTAAGAAAATGCCATAGAACTAGATCTCATGGAGGCATTTCCTCAACTGAGGCTCCTTCCTTTCTGATGACTCCGTGTCAAGCTGACACTCCAAATAAGCCAGGACACACTCTCAGCCCACAGTCCATCACTGAGTGAAGCAACGCAGGGACTTGAAGTCAGGCCTGCCCGCTATTCTCCGCAGCATTTCCTCCAGCTAAGGAACTCACCCCACAGCCAAATACAACAGGCCTGCCCGCTATTCTCCTCAGCATTTCCTCCAGCTAAGGAACCCACCCCACAGCCAAATACAACAGCAACTGTGGGATCGTGCTTGCTGGCTGGCTCACTCGCAGGTTCATCCTCAGGTAACTTTCTTATATAGTTCAGGATTACCTGCTCAGGGGATAGTGCTGCCCGCAGTGGGCTGAGCCCTCCTGCACCGATCAAGACAGTCTCACACGGAATGGGCAATCCCTCAATCCAGGCTCACTTCTCAGATGACTCTAGGCTGTGTCAAGTAGACAGTTAACACTAACTAGGACTATGTCTCAAAAATTTTATTCTTAATATCTTTTCTTGTTTAAATTATATATATATATATATATATATATATATATATCCTTGTTCTATCAGTTAATCAATTTTTACAGCATTTTTGTCATTTTCATTAGCCAGCATTGGTCAATCCCCTCACATCCCAAGCCCTAGGCAACTGTTGATATGCTGTCTTTACACTCTATATTGCCTGTTCTGAGTGAGCTGTTTGTTTTTTGTTTTCGTAAGATTTATTTACTTTTTATCTTTTAAATTATGTGTATATACGCGTTTGCATGGGGGAAGCGCATGATGAGTGCAGGTGCCCGCAGAGTCCAGAAGGGAGCATCAGATCCCCTGGAGCTAGAGTTACAGGTGGTTGTGGGTTGCCCACTTCGGTGGTCGGAACTTATCGCAGGTCCTCCCCAAGAACAGTGCATGCTTTTAACTGCTGAGCCATCCCCTATTTTCTTGTTGTTGAAGACAAGATCTCAAGTATCCTAGGCTCGCCTATAACTCTATGTAGCCAAAGACAACCTTAAACTTCTGATCCTCCTGACTCCAGATGGGTCCTAATCACTGGGACTACAGGCTTGCCTAGGATTATCATCTATATGGTGGTAGGGATTGAACCTGGAACTTTGTGCCTTAGGCAGGATACTCCGCCAACTGAGCTATATCCCTAGTCCAATATTTTAAACGTTCAGTGAACTAAAGAAAACTGAGCTCTTTATTTGTCCAAGCCACATTTCAAGTGCCCAACAGCCACAAGTGGCCAGCGGCAGCCAAACTGGACTAGACCAAGTATTTCTTCCAACCCTCTGAGAAAGTTCTAGCAGCCAGCCCTGAGCTACAGGAGTCGGATATCAACAGACAGCTCCTTACAGTTACCTTGTACAACTGCACTCAACTCACGCTAACCTCGATGTAAAAGTCTTCCTCGTGTGATTTTACTCTCCACAGAGATGCACAGTCATCACCCTTTGACTGCCGTTCTGGATCTTTGCCAGCTGTAAAGTTGTACCACGGTCCCTTGGATGGACCCTCTTCTAAGCCACTCTATAACTAACTGCTGCTCCCCTCGCCACACTCTGTCAGCCTCGAAGCAGTTACAGAGTCACACCCCCAAGTCCCTAAAAGCAGTCCAGATGATCTCTAAAAGGGGAATAATAAGCCATGAACCATCCAGGTCATCCCTCTTCTTGTCACTCTGGGCATTGTTTTCAGGACTCAGAACTGAAACAGCTGAACGGACGCCTTCGATGCATCAGTTAACCTCTCTGTCTCACCAGCTCACACATCCTTCAGGGCCAGCTCGACCCCTTGACTGCTGCAGTACTCCACAGTAACTAGGTCTGGCAGCTGAGAGATGGCTCAGCAGTTAAGTGCAATGCCTGCTCTTCCAGAGGACCCGAGTTCAAGTCCCAGCACCCACATGGCAGCTCACAACTGTCTAACTCTAGTTCTAGGGGACCAGACACACATGGCAAAATACCAATGCACATTTAAAAAAAAAAAAATAGCTGGACAGTGGTGGCACACGCCTTTAATCACAGTGCTTGGGAGGCAGAAGCAGGTGGATTTTTGTGAGTTCAAGGCAAGCCTGGTCTACAGATCGAGTTCCAGGACAGGCTCCAAAGCTACACAGAGAAGCCCTGTGTCAAAAAACAAACAAACAAAACTTTAATTCCAGGACCTGGGGAAATAGTTCAGTGGTTAAGAGCGCTTGCTGCTCTTCCAGAAAACCCAGGTTCAGTTCCCAGCACCCACATGACAGTTTACAACTGCCTGTAACTCCAGTTCCAGAGGATCCCACACCCTCTTCTGGCCTGTGTGGGCACTGCATGCATGTGGTACACAGACATGCATGCAGGCAAAATACCCCTACACATAAAATAAAAACAAATAATATTTTTTAAAAATAGCCCAGTGGGGCCCATCAATGACCTGTCCAGGAGTCCACCTTTGATCCTCCAGGAAGTCTGAGTCACCTGAAGACATGCTAAGGACAGGACTTTAATCCCTGTAATGACATAAAGTACTTCTCCTTCCTAGGAGCCCCTCTCTCAAAGCAGCTGCCCGCAAGACTTCCACCAGGTGGCACTTCGGGGCCTCCACGATGCAGCCTGCCACATTTTATGCTTTGGCCATGTATGCACAGTTTTGCATGGTGTGTGTGTGTGTGTGTGTGTGTGTGTGTGTGTGTGTGTGTGTGCATGTGGAGGCTAGATCTTCCAGCATATTCATTGAGGTAGTGTCTCTCAGTCAAACCCTAAACTCACTGATATGGCTAATCTTGTCAGCCAGCTTGCTCTAAGGCTCCCTGTCTCTGGAATCACACACATGTGGCCACCACACCTACTTAGCTTTCACACAGGTCTCTGGAGATCCGAACCCAGGACTTCACACTTGCGTGGCAAGTGCTTCAACCACTAAACCCCCTTTTCCTTCTTTTCTATTTTGTTGTTTATTTGTTTGTTTGTTTGTTTTGTTTTTTGAGACAGGGTTCCTCTGTGTAGCCCTGGCTGTCCTGGAACTCACTCTGTAGACCAGGCTGTCCTCGAACTCACAGAGATCCGCCTGGCTCTATCTCCCGAGTGCTGGGATCAAAGGCGTGCGCCACCACCCCACCTCTATTTTCTTTTGGATTCTGAGCAAAGCCTGGACATGACTCCCTGATTCTCTGAACCCTCTCACTTGTCCTCTGAAGCTCACCCCTCCCCCAGCTTCCACCAGGCTGCTGCTTCCCAGCTGCCATCTCAAAAGACATGAATTTCTCTTCCTCTTCTCCATCTCTCTATTCCGTTAGACTGTGTTAGAGCTTTCTTCTGAGTCCATTTCTAATTCTGTCTATCGATGGAACAAGGAACCAAGGAAAGATGCCCAACTTACACAGTAACATCAGAAGAGGGATGCCATCCCCATGCTGTAGCACACAGCCTCGACCCTCCTCCAACACACAAACCAAGAGTGATCTAACCACAGATGTCAGTGAGGATGAAGTTGAGAACCTAAGGGTACTCCACAGGATGTCTGTAAGTGTCTGAGTGTGTCTACAGCTGGGTGAGACCCTTTGGACATAAGGACAGCTTGCTGTGACTCTGCTCATGTCATACCCAAGACCAGGCAGCTGCCCTTACAGATCGCCGGATTTGCTAGTTTATCACAGCTGTCCAGCAGGTGGCAGTATAATCCAATTTTCCCAGCAAAGCAGCCAGGCTGGGGTGCCGCCCAACTGTTAGAGCATTTGCCTAGTGTGAGCAAGGCATCATCTTCCATCCCCAGTATGATCAAAAAACAAAAACAAAAAACAAACAAAACAGATGATGATGATGTATCTTCCTCAAAGAATGGGAAAAAGTCTTTGCCTGCTATTCATCTAACAAGGGATCTGTAGTCAGAATATAAAAAGAACTTTAACAGCTGGTGTGGTGGCGCACGCCTTTAATCGCAGCACTCCAGAGGCAGAGGCAGGTGGATCTCTGAGTTTGAGGCCAGCCTGGCTACATTCTAGGACAGGCTCCAAAGCTGCACAGAGAAACCCTGTCTCCAAAAAACAAAAACAAAAAACAACAACAACAACAACAAAAAAAAAAAAACCACCTAAAGAACAAATAACACAATCAATAAAATAAGAAAATTAGCTGCACAGTTCACAAAAGTACCAACAGCCAATAAATACATTTAAAATGTTCAAAAGACAGACATGCTGGCACATGCCTTGAATTCCAGCCTCCAGAGTCAGAGGAAGGTAGATCTGAGTTCAAGGCCAGCCTGGTCTACATAGCAAGTTCCAGGCTAGCCAGGGTTACACAGTGAGACCTTTTCTTAAACAAAACAACAGCAACAACCAAAAAACAAACAACAAACAAACAAAAACAAAAACAAAAAACCTTACCATCCACCTTAGCCATAAAGAAAATGAAAATACAAATTAAAATTATACTGAGATGGCCAGGCAGTAGTGGTGCAGGCCTTTAATCCCAGCACTCGGGAGGCAGAGCCAGGTGGATCTCTGTGAGTCCGAGGCCAGCCTGGTCTACAGAGTGAGTTCCAGGACAGGCGCAAAGCTACACAGAGAAACCCTGTCTCAAAAAACCAAAAAAAAGAAAAAAAGAAAGAAAGGGAGAGAGAGAGAGA